GGGTCTGGTCCTGAAGAAAGGCCTTCACCTACATTACTTTTCGAAACAAATGCTGCCATTCCCATGTACAGGATGGGAAACTAAGGCTAGGAGATCTTAAAGTAACTTGAGCTTACCAAGCTCACCCAGCTTTGACTCCTTTTACTGGATCCAGCTACTACTGGAACTGCTTTTTTTCACCTTAAGACACCTCTGACAAAACATGTGGTTGACAGTGTGAAGGGAGATTATATATACAAGTGCATATTAGATACATACAATGCATGTATCCAGGCAAAACTGTGGGCAGCTTACCTCATCCAACTAACAGCCAAGGACAGAGAGAAGTGGCTCAAGGACAAAGCTAGTGGTGATGGGCTTCACCTTGGTAACCCCACTCCCTTTATTCTGAGTATCACTTTGCTCAGCCTGGACTTGAATCTAGAAGATGACCCTGAATTTCTTTTGTTTGTGGGTTTTTTGTTGTTTTGTTTTTTGAGACTGGATTTCATTGTGTAGCCCTGGCTGTCCTGGAACTCACAGAGATCCTCCTGCCTCTGCCCCTGCCTCCTGGGATTAAAGGGGTGTGGTACCACCACTTGGCCACCTTGAATTTCCAAAACCCTGGATTCTGGTCCTACCTCTTGAGTGGAAGGATCGCAGGCATGTGCCGCCATCCTGTTTTACGTACCTTTGTGCAGGCTAGGCAAATACTCTACCAGCTTAGCTACATCCCCAGCCCCCTGCTAAAATACTCTTTAGCTAGGGTTAATCCGTGGAGAACTTGGTCACAAGGCTCTGCCTTCCCCAGAACTTTGCTTGAACCCCCTCCCCCGCAAACCCTCACAGAAAGCAGCCAGCTGCAACAGGTGTTTGCCTCTTCATCCACTAAAAATATTACTGTACCACCATTACCCATACTTTGTCCCTTTTGAGGGGGGGTCTGGAACAGAGCCAAACCTGACTAGGGGAGGGAGGGAAGGAGGGAGGGGGAGGGGGAAAGGGAGGGAGACAGACAGAGTTTAGGACTGACCCTTGACAAAACCTGTAGATATCATTCTGGTTTCACTTCCCATCCCCTTCTCCCCTGACATCTTCACGGTCTATGCTCTCAGCCGTCCACATCCTCCCCAGAGAGGAAAATGTCTGAGAGTTGCATCATTCTGTTGTTTGGACTAATTTCTCTTTGCAGAAAACCTAATTCAACAGAAACAGAAGCAGCCCAAAGTCAGTCCTTAAATGGGAGACTAATTTTGTCAGCAGTAGGACTTCAGGCACTGTGAGAGATGGAAAACTAGGATTTGGGGACCAGACATCTGTCTTATCCTCCCTTTGGTCTGCATTCTCTCACTCTGTCCTATTGCCAACACATTCCACCTGTAGCCTAGTGTCATATGACAGCTAGGACAACCTCAGAGGCCAGGACTGTGTGTTAGGAGGGCAGGACTAAAATCCAGGACAGGTTGTGCCATCAACTGGCTGTGTGTGAGCTAACCCTAACCCTCCTCTGTTGTAGCTTCAGTTTACCCTTCTACCAAACGGAGAGAGGAGGTGTACTGGGGTGGTGAGCCCCAACTTCTGACTTTTTGTTAGAGTCATACAAGAGGTTTGACAATAATACAGATGACAATCCCATCTACACAGGGATTTTAATCCGATTGATCTGTGCTATGGCCTGGAAAGATCTATCTATCTATCTATCTATCTATCTATCTATCTATCTATCTGAGACAGGGTTGCCTTATGTAGCCCTGGCTGTCCTGGAACTCACTCTGTAGACAAGGCCAACCTCAAAACTCAGAAATCTGCCTGTCTCTGCCTCCAGAGTGTTGGGACTAAATGCATTTGCGACTAGGCCTTCTAAGGACAGCTAACTTACAAAGAACTTAGCTGAATCTAGTGAAGTAAATGGACCCACGAGTGGGCTTTAGAACTTTGTAAATTTCTTGGAGATATGTAGAACTGAGCGTGTAAACCTCCAGAGAACCCCAAAGACATGGAAAAGACTATCTTGAAGGATTCCAATCACTTTTGGACAGCATTTATGTTTATGAGGGCAACAGTGCCACCTGGTGGTTTTTGTTTGCACTTTCAAACCATTATCTGGCAATGCAATGCAGTTTCTTAAACGTGGAGCCACAGCTTATTGTGCAAGGTATTGTGTTACAGAGAGATAAACAAACAAATACATGATAATCCTATTTCCATATGAACATCACAGCCTGGAGGGGACAACCCAATACAGGAGGCAACTTGATAGAATACAAGACGGAAGCCTGTGGCTGTGGCTGGCTTCGGGAGCATGTGAATCTCTTAAATAGCTCTGGCCCTGAGTTATTGCTTCCTGTCTCTGTCTTGAAATTACTGATAAGAGCTGAATTTAGGGGGCTCATGGATTTTCACTTTACACTGGAGAACCGGGAATTCCTATGGGATTTTCCTGGATCTGGAGGCAGAGATGTAGAGAGAGAGCAAAGGGGAGGGACAGATTTCGTTGTGGAAGAAGCAATGGGGTCCTCAAGGCTTGATGATGGAATTGCCTGCTGGGGAAGAACACAGAGATCCAGCACTGGAAAGATGATAGGTAGGGAAGGCTTTCCTGTCAGATGATGCAGACTCCTGTCAAGGAGTTCCTCCACCATGTGCCCTGCAGCTAGATGGCAAAACAAAACAAAACAAAAAACCAACAAAAACAAAACCAAAAACAAAACGGTGGAGCCAGAGCTCTGAGGTCAGACTCCTAGGCAGGGGGCCATTAGTTATAAAGTAGAGGACAGAGCTGTAGGCCTGGCCTTGGGCTTAGACTGGCCTTGGGATGCAGCAGAGAAAGCCTAGAGGGGCAACTGAACGGCCCTGGAGCCCAGTTATCCTCTTGGTGCACTCTGGACTCTCCTTTGCTTCCTTCTTGTTTCAACATCACCATGGGACAGTGACACAAAGTCCTTGAGACAGAGACTCATGTTGGGGATATAACATTTCTTAGTTAGGATTCACTGTCAGGGCCCACATGGGCTCTGAGCAAACTTCTGTGTGTTTCATGGTGAATTTCACTTTGTTGATAGTCGACCAAGAGAAAAAGATCAGTAAGACTGTTTTTTACAGGGTTTGTCAAAGATAGCCCTGGGTGTCCTAGAACTCACTTACTGTAGACTAGGCTAGGCTGGCCTTGAACTTCCAGAGATGTGATCACCTCTGTCTCCCGAGGGCTGGGTCGAAAGGCGTGTGCTGCTGCCACCACCACCACCACCAGCATGGACACATCTTATTGCTTCTTTCCTTTCTTCCTTCTTTTTTTTTCTTTTTTTTTTTTTTTTTTTTTTTTTTTTTTTTTTTTTTTTTTTTTTTTTTTTTTTTTTTGGCTTTTTGTGTTGGGAGCCATAAGTTAAGGGGCCATTCAGAGCAGTGGAAAACTACAGGTCCTTGAAGGACTTGCCACCTGGCAACTGCTGCCACTGGCTGTTCTATCCCGGAAGAGATAAGCAGCTCTGAGGACAAGAAACATAGGAGGCTTTCAGGCAACAGACATTCTTTAGATAGCCGCTTGCATCAAATGTACTAACTTCTTCCTCTGTACCTCACCTCCCTTCTGGGAGCCCCACCGCCAGCGGCCTTGCTCCCCTTTTCCTCCTCCCTCCCTCTACACTCCCTCCTTGCCACATCCCTATATAAGTCTTATTATTCCCTCAATAAAGGGAGACCGTGACAAAATTTGCTATGCTTGCATGGTCTCCTTTCTTTCTCCGCCCATGACTCTCTTTCAGGCAGTACCTCTTCAGACCCTGAATAACTGGACCTGCTGGACGGGTCATTTTCGAGACAGGGTTTCTCTGTGTAGCTTTGGAGCCTATCCTGGCACTCACAGAGATCCGCCTGCCTCTGCCTCCCAAGTGCTGGGATTAAAGGCGTGTGCCACCAACGCCTGGCACTTATTGCTGCTTTCTTATGGGGCTTTCCACATTTAGGGGGTGGCGAAACTTACAGGAAAGAGCTCTTCCACCAAGGGTTAAGGAAAGTTCCAGATCATAGAGCTTTGAACCCACATTCAGATGAAATCTGGCATGTTCATGGGTGGTATGGCCAGAGACTGAGCCCATATATCAAATCAGTTCTCCCTACCAGGCAAGATCAGAGACTGGCACCCATTGTATCCATGCTTTGGTTTTCACAGCCCAAGCCGGGATCCTACCTTTCTCACATAAGCACAGAGTAAGCAGGGAAAGCGAAGGCTATAGCTCTGGCCATGGGCCCCATGCTAAGAGGCTCATTTCTCAATTCCATTATTGCCCAGTTGTCCAATAATGTCTGTCTGCCTTGTCCTGGGAAAGTTTTGGTCTGAAGAGGCCCAGTGTTTGCCTCTGAGACTGCAGTGTCTTCTTGTTTGGCACAGGGGTCTAGCTAGTTGCTGGCTGCCAGTTGTTCTCCAGGCTTAGGTTATTTGCTGCCTTGAACAGCATTTCTTCTCTGCAAGAGTCATAAAGGTACCTGTTCTATCAGACTCTGACTTGGACAGAATCTGGGGAGCACCCAGCAGCACCCCACCCCCTGCCACAGTTCGTTCTCGTTCACCTATACCAGGAATATAGAGCGATTTTTATCCTCGGGCTGCTTCCTATTGGACCTGAAGGAGAAGTGGCTGTGGGTACAGCGAAGAGGGCAAAGGCTAACATTCTATCCTAGTCCACTGCCTAACCACTAATGTGAGCCAGAGATCAAGCACAGGAGGGTGCCATAGGGTGTGTAGCCAGGGGCTGATGCCTAGCTCTAAGAGGGACCCCAGATAGGATCAGCGCCCAAGACATGCTAGTTGTACTTTGTGTGACTTTTTTACAAGTGGGGACACAGTTGTCTGGAGGCCAAATCTCCTAGGCTTGGATCCTAAGAGTCTGTCAAAGATGCAGAAAGAGCCAGAAAGCGACGGAGATGGAAGGATGGACATACAAGGTTGCAAAAAACCAAGATACATCCCACAAGGTGAAGGCATTAGAACATCACTCATGATTGACGACAGTTCCTGTGAGTGAGGGCAGTGAGTGGACTGAGGACAGGTGAGGAATTTCCCTCCCTCTTGTCCTTTCATAGCAAAGGGGCAAGAAACTCCCGAGGGACAGCTGCGCACGTGGGTGTCAGCCGCGGGTGGAGGTGCCTAGCTGGGGCAGAAGAGGTGGAAGTTGGTACGCGTGAACTCGTGGTGGATGCTCTCGAGAAGCGCGTCTGCGTCAGGGGCGGGCTCGTGCGCATCAGGTGGCCGCGGCCGCGCGCTGTATTCCGGGGTGTAGGTGAAAGAGAAGGCGCTGGGGTAGAAGAGCGCATCTGTACGCAGCAGGCTCACGGGCACCGTGATGGGAGTGCGCAGCCAGCGCCAGTCGCTGCCGAAGGCTGCCACGTCTGGCACCACGCACACCAAGGACCGCGGGCTCCTGCGGGTGGGGAATGGAGGATAGACTGACGAACATTCCAGCCTCTGATCCTCGGAGCCAAGCTGCCCCTCCCCTATCGGTACCTGTACATGGTTTCTGCCTCCACATCTCCAAACCACACCTTGAGCCCAGCGTGGAAATTCTCTCCGTGCAGCTCCAGCGTGGCCACATCGCCTCCGCCGCTCAGCTGGGGGTAGATGGGACCAGATGGGACCACACACGGGGGAATGTGTGCGTGGGGGTACAGGGGGGGGGTGTAAAGGAGCATCCTGTCCTTCCTCCGACAGCCTCCCGATTCCCAGAGCAGACAGGCCGGCTGCACAGCCCCCAACAGTTCACCTCTAGAGTGCTGATGAGGGGCACTGGAGTGACAGGTTCCCGAGTACAGGCCAGGCTGGTGCTGAAGGAAAACTCCACCGACTCAGTACCAATGATCGTCCAGCAAGAGCTGTCGTTGAGCAGTGCCCTGTTGGCCTCCTTGGGACAGAGGGAAGCCTGGCAGGAGGTCCAAAGGATGGAACTGAGGCCTTTCCCTTCTAAGCTTTTTGGTTTATCTACCCCAGGGGTCTTGGGTGAGACCCTCACACTGTATGGGATATATATCCAAACTCATTTTTAAAAATTATTTTTGTTTGTACTGTGAATTTATATGTGTGTATAACCATCTCTGTGTCTCTCTCTCTGTCTCTCTCTCTCTGTGTGTCTAAGTGTGTGCCAGCAGAGGTCACAAGACAGTGTCAGATACCTTGGAACTGGATTTATAGGCACCTGACCTGGGTGTGAGGACCAAACTTTGGTTCTCTGTAAGAGCAGCAAATGCAATTAACCACTAAGCTGCCTCTCCAGCCATATCCACCCTCCTTTAACATTGTAAAATCTTGTGCCTTAGCAAGGTGGTGGTGGTGCATACATTTAATCCCAGCACTTGGGAGGCAGAGGTAGGTGGATCTCTGAGTTCAAGGCCAGCCTGGTCTACAGAGCAAATTCCAGGACATTCAGGGCTGTTACACAGAGAAACCCCTGTCTTCAAAAACCAAACCAAAACAAAACCCCACAAAACAAACACCAAAACAAACAAGTAAATAAATTAATTAATTAAAAATTAAAAAAATTCTGTGCCATAACATTCTACAGTTTTAGCTGGCCGTAGTGGTGCCTATGGCAACACTTGATGCTTGATAGATGGAGGCAGGAGGATCATGAACTCAGGGCCAGCCTTTCCTGCTTAGAGAGTTCAAGGCCAGCTTAGGCCACATGAATAGAACTTACCTGGAACTTACTCTGTAGACCAGGCTGGTCTTGAACTCAGAGATCTGCCTGCTTCTGCCTCTTGAGTGGTGAGATTACAGGCATGTACCACCTGGCTGTAATTATTGTTTTCTATATTTTATGATTCCATCTACTAACTTTCCAGAATCATATTTTTTGGGAGAAATATTACTTAATAATTATTGCTTTCCAGACTGTATGATTTTTGTGCCTTGACATCCTATAACTTTGTTCAGTAATATTCAATGCTATCTCCTACTATGATTTTATTCATATCCTGAATTTTTTTTTTTTACTTGTGTATATGTGAATGTGTACCATATGTGTGTGGCCGTCAGAGGTCACACAGGGGTGTCAGATCCCCTGGAGCTGGAGTTACAAGTGGTTGTGAAGTTGTGGCCCACCATGTGGGTACTGGGACTTGAACTTGGATCCTTTGGAAGAGCAACAAGTTCTCTTAACTACTAAGCTGTCGTCTCTCTAGTTCATATATGCTGCAATTTCATATCCCAACATCTATAAGCCCTTGGGAAGGAGTGTTGTTTACTGATAGTAATTACATTGTTTTTCTCTATGACTCTACTGTTTATGGACGGCACTATTGCCTAAGAAGCAGCAACCTTTGTGGCCAAGATCTTATACCCTACAGCCCTCTGTATTCTTCCTGGTATGCTTGGTAGCCCTTGCTGCTCACCTGGAATTGCACCACCTTCTCTGTGGCAAGGCATAAGTAGGTGCCACCCCCTCCTGGAGTGTCACCTGGAAACTGGAATGCACACTTGTGCAGCTGGGATATGGGTTCGTCCACGTCAAGGAGGGCACACTGCTTGGCTACTTTGCGGATGATCTGCAGCAGAAGGGTGCCAGGAAGAGGGGTGGCGAGGTGCGGGGGTCCCCAGAGGCTGACTGCTCTCCAGCCAGGCGGTTCTATTCTGATAGCCATGGGCTCACAGGCACACTCCCATTAAGCACTTAGAGAGAGGAGGTGTCTTTAGGCCTTCAGGCCTCACCCCCAGCTCTGCCCTCAGTGGCCACACTTCTGTACTGATCTGTGGTTACCCTCGTGGGTACAGACTCCTTCCTCATACCATAGGAGGCAGTGTGATGCCGGTGACTGTGCAGACAAGCTGCACCAGGGAGCCATAGCGGATGTAACCTTCCTGGGGTGGAAAGTCCCCTTGGGAACAGTGCTTGTCAGCTGGGGAAGACAGGGACAAAAGGCTTCAGAACTTCGGCCCCAAACCCTGCTTCCTCACCTCTGGCTTTCTGTCACAACACAGCTGGCCATGACGGAAGAAGTGAAGACTCAGATTCTAATCTTGGACAGGTAGGTAATCAGTGGTCATCCCCACAAAGGTGTGTTCCCTGGGCCAGCCTCTTACTGGCTTATGGGGCGGGGGCAGGGAAAGGGAATAGCCACTGGGGTCAGAATAGATTAGATTGGGTTAATCACTGACCCAATAAGGCCAGTGGGAGGTGGGGGTGGGGGTGGGGGTGACGGGTGAGGGGGA